CAACAAGACCCTTTAGTTACATCAGAATGAGGTTTCCTGGTGTCAACATGAAGGTAAACAAATTATTGTGCATTTTCTGGGTTGGAGTTCCCAAAATGAATTTATAAAAAAGTGCTGAAGAATTGTCCACGATGCCATCATTAAAGATGCGCATATAGTAATTTACTTTTATTCTTGTCGACAGAACGCCTGATGTCTCTTATACTGAGCAAATTGCATTTGTTCTCCGCTCTGTCTACAATGGTATTGATAAAAGACAGGTAATTAAGGAGCGCTTTCTTAAGGTTGAAAATCTTAAACAAAAGAAAATTGTGGATATTGCCAAGATAATTATGGATTTCTATGATCAAAATGACATCAATCTGAAGAAATGTCGAGGTCAAGGGTACAACAACGGTGCTAACATGTCTGGTGTGTACAAATGAGTAAAAGCGATCATCCTTCAGAGAAATCCTGAAACTTTCTACATGCTATGCAACCCAGAGAAATGATTTTTTCTTTGCAGAAACATCAGGGACTTGATTTAACTGCTAATCTATTGAATGACGTAAAATCTTTGGAGAAATTGATTTATTCATTTGAGTTTATTATTATGACAACTTTCTGGTTCGAAGCGCGCCAAGCAATTGTCATTTCAATGCGTGTCATTTCAATCAGGAAACATTACTTTAGATGAAGATATAAAGCTTATGAGGGTTCCTATCGAGAATCTTATGAATTTAGATATTCTTGGCCCAAATTAATTAATGAAGCACATTTGGTTACCTCCGGTCTAGCTAGTTATGGGTTTTAGTCAAAGTTAGTTCAAAAAGGAGAAGGAAGAGGAAAACCTTTTACAAAGAAGCAAGGGATGAAGTTCATTTCTACGAAAACGATGAAAAGCAGTCTGAAGTGAACGTATTTAACACTGTACCCGTTTTTCAAAATGCCTTTAGATGCTTTTTACGTATTTTGGGAAAAACGCAATTAAAAATAATAATACAAGAAAGTTTTTGTAAAACGTTTTTTGAAAATTATAATTTGTATGAACTTTTTTAAATTTCTTTAAAAACAATTATTCAATAATCTTTGCAGGCACCTAAGTAAGCTTATTTTCTAAAAAAGTCAATTTTGATTTTTTTTACCTTAAGGCGTTTTGAAAAACGGCTGAAGAACACCGCTCTCGATACTTTAATTCATCAAATAAGAGGCAGATTTCGAGCTGCGGAAAAATTGACAAACAGTAGCTCCTTCCTATGGTTTTCGGAATCTAATAGTAGATCGAGTTAAGAAAGTTGAACCACCTAGCCTGGAGGAGAAATCTAAAACTTTGGCGCAAATCTATGAGAACAATGTAGATGAAAACAAACCAATTTTAGAAGTCCATCATCTAGATATTCTGAAGCACATCAAGCTTTTCAGTGCAAAAGAATATCTCACTTTATCTCAGCCTTTAAAAGTGAATTTAGTTGAAAAAAAAACAAAAAAAAAAAACAGTATTTGGACAGTACCTAAACCCTTTTGAATTAGATCAATATGACAGGGCGCTAGATAAGTTTTGACCCCGGGCGTCATAAAGTGTCGCGGCGGGCCTGTATATATATATATATATATATATATATATATATATATATATATATATATATATATATATATATATATATATATATATATATATATACATATATACAAAATTTTCGGAAATTTTCAAAAAAAAAAAAAAAGAAATTATTTACTACTTTACTTTTTGATATTAAACAAAATCGCAAATAATTATAATTGTAATTCTTTTTATAATTAGACTATTTTATTATATTTCCTACAAAAATACATAAGAATGGAAAAACACAAGCAAAGTTTTGGAATGATTTCTATTTTTTTTATATTAAATAACTGAAAAATAATTTTCTTGCAATTTATTAAATGAACAATTTATTGAATATTCTTTTTTTTTAATTATGCTACAGACATTCTATCATAATATAATAATAGGTCTTTAAAAATGTTAATGCTTAGCCATTTTTGAGGGTATGTGAAAATAAACACTGTCATCACTTAAATATTCATTGTCATATTCATCATTATTATCATTGAATGCTGTATCATTGAAGATATGGCTTATATTGCTTTTATCGTCAATCTTTTTTTTTTTCTAAATATAAATTCTTTTTCTTTTTAGAATTACATTTAACCAGTCTAATCTGTATTTTCAAATTATAAGCAATAAATTATGATGTTCTTGTATCAGTTTTGATTCAGTTCAAAATTTGATGTTCTTGTATCAGTTAAACGATTTCGCTTTTTAGATTTTTGCAAAGAAAATTCTTTCTCGCTCAGCAGATGCAATGCTGAATAAGGTTTCCCGAAAAAAAAATTTTTTTGTCCGCTATTAAAAACTTGGCTTTTATAAGTAAAAAGACGAAATATATAAAAAATATTGATCTGAGACAAGTGTAAGAGCTTGGTGTAAAACTTAAAATTTTCGAAAAATGTCGATTTTTGTCATATTTTTTTAGTTTTTATTATTTTAAATGTACCTGCAATGAAAAAATGTTTAAATATCTTTTAACGTAGCATTATTTATCTATTATTTTTATTTATTTATCATTATTTATCTATTTATCTATTATTTTTTAAATTAGTCATCTAATAATCTAAGTCATCATACTTATACTTAACGATATATTTCAATTTTTTTCTTGAATATTGGCATTTTATTGGTTACCGCTATTTTTTACTTTTGATTAGTTTAGCACCAGATTTCAGTCCAGCAAAGAAATTATTGCCTGTCCAACAAAAACAGGAACCAGAAGTCTAGTTTGCGAGTATAGAGCATGTGAAATATCAACCAATAGATGTGTAACTTCAGCTGTTACTAACATCTGGATAAAAGCTGGTTTTGCGTGCAACATTATTAGTGGAAGATCTGTTAGGTAAATTTTACAACAACAAAAATTATTATAGATTTATCTTGTTTTTAGTAACTTCAGAAAAAAAACTTTGTTAAAAAAAACTCAAAATCTCAAAAAGAAAAAAGGACTGTGGAAACATTTGAGAGATTACAGAAGTCGACAAACAAGACAATTCATAACATTGTTAGCCCATTTGAAATTTCTCTTTTATGTGAAGAAAGTGATGATTCTGAATATGATGTATCCAAATCAAAAAAATCAAAAATAATTTTAGAATTAACACCTGATGAACTAGTTGAAGCTACTTCTGCTGTTAGTGTTCGGTATAGAATTGTTGTTAGGCCCCAGACTGCTATAATTTCTGCTATCTGCAATAAAGCAGGTGTTAAATTGCATGAGATTAATTTATCAAGATCTACTCTAAATAGAAAAAGATACAGAATTATTGAAAATCTTGGTAGCTATTATTCACAAAAATGATTAAGTTTATTTGTTTTGTTATCTTTATTATTCTAAATGTATAAATTAATTGATTTAGGAGAAACACTACGGCAGGATGTTGTTAATGTTTTAAAAGGAAAAAAACTTATAGTTCATTTTGATGGGAAACTTGTTAGACAGCTGGTAGAGGAAAATGATCTAACAGTTATATGTGAAAGAGTTGTAGTCAGGGCCGGTGCACCCTATAGGCGAACTAGGCAATCGCCTAGGGCGCCAAAGTTTAGGGACGCCTAAAAATTAATAAGTTTTTTTATATGCTAACAAAAAACAACGCTTTTGCTCATTGAGCAATATGTACGTACATTTTACCGAACGCAATCTAAATCATAACAAATATGGCGGCGTCTTTACAATCAAAGTGATTTTCATAACAACTTTCAATAGTTAGTCGACTATATTCTTTATATAATTTATACTGACAATATATATATATATATACATATAGATGAATAGTGACATTCTATATACTATTATACATTTGTATTAAGTTTTAGACACTTATTAAGAAAAGTAAAATATTTTTTATATGAATATATAATAACTAGCTTAAATCTAGGGCTATTATATATTACGTATTATATTATTATTATACTTCACCATACGTATAACTTTGCTATACAAAATAAAATTTGAATTATTTAAACACAATGCATCTAGCAGGTTAAATTTTTTGTTGAGTCGCTTCTACAATATGTCTTGATCTGCACCAGCTAATTACACATTGAAATCTCATTCATATAGCTAACTTCCATTTCCGTTTAAAAAAACACAAAAAATGCTAGCAGGACGTATAACTTTGCCAAGTTGTTTTTTGTATAATACAGTTAAATGATAACCTGTTAAAACCTTACAGAGCTGTTCAGACCTGTTGGAAACTATAGCTAGCTATATATAATTTATTCTTGAAGCCAATCACAGAAGACCTATTAATGTATTAGTTAAACATTGCAACATTCATTTATTTTATTATTTTCTTGTTACATTTCAGATATGGCTGAGAGAAAGAAGCCTTCAGGAGCTCAATATCGTAAACGAAAAGTTGAACAGCAGAGGGAACAAGAAAAACAGAAGGGTTCATTCCTAAAGTTTATATGCCGACAAGACTCTACTAAAGAGGATAATAATGGTGGACAGATTCCCACTGATATGGAAGCTGAAGAAATATCTAATGTTGTTGATAATGATAATGTGATGATGAGTGAAACACTTTCTTACTCAACAGTTCCCGTTTCCCATGCAGATAATGGCCAATTGAATAATTCTCTCGAGGAACATGTACAGCAAGCAAGTGAAGAAAAAACGGATAATGTTATTCCACAGGATCCAGCACTTTGGCCTCTACTAAATAATCATAATACACGTGCAATCATTGTAGAACGTGGACCTCAGCAAATAAAAGATATCAGTTTCCCAAATGATAAGAACAATCGAAAGTTTTCAGTATTTCACTACTTAAGAAAACTTCCTAATGGAGAAGAATTATGTCGCAGCTGGCTCTTGTATTCAGTATTAAAAGACTAAGTGTTTTGTTTCTGTTGCAAACTGTTCAGTATGAAAGCAATTGGCATATCATCACTAACTCATACAGGTTCAAGTGACTGGAAAAACATGGCGGCAATTCTTTCTTCCCACGAGAAAAGTCCTGAACATTTGCAGAACTATCAAAATTGGAAAGAACTACATCAGCGATTACAGAGGGATAGTAAAATAGATGCAGAAATTTTGCGCAAGATGAAGAATAAAGAAAAGTATTGGCAGCAAATACTAAAGCGTTTAATAGCATTAGTGAGAGTTTTAGGTCAACAGAATCTAGCTTTTCGCGGTACAAATGAAACATTGTACAGTGCCAATAACGGGAATTTTTTAAAATTTGTGCAATACTTAGCCATTTTTGATCCATTAATGAACAAACATCTACGAAAGATATTAAATAAAGAGCTTCTTACACATTATCTTGGCAAAGATATACAAAATGAACTTATTCAACTGTTAGGAAATGCTATTAAGAAAGAAATCATACAAACAGCAAATGCAATTAAATATTTTTCAATAGTTCTCGATGGTACTCCTGACTGTAGCCATGTTGAGCAAATGACAATAATTATTCGTTTTGTTAAAGTTGATTCATTGAAAAAGGAGTTTAGTATCAAAGAACATTTTTTAGGCTTTGTACCTTTAAAGAAAACAACTGGAGCCTATATGGCAGAAACGATAATACAACAACTAGAAGAAATGGAGTTACCTATTGATAATTTACGTGGCCAAGGCTACGATAATGGCGCAAATATGATAGGCAAAAATAATGGTGTTCAAAAGAAAATATTAAACATTAATTCTCGAACATTGTTTGTTCCTTGCAGCGCGCATACTCTTAATTTGGTTGTCAATGATGCTGCAAATTGTTGTCTAATGGCTACAAGTTTTTTTGATATTGTCCAACGTGTGTATGTATATTTTTTGTCTTCAACACATCGGTGGGTAGTTTTCACTAGTCATCAACCTACGTTAACTGTTAAACCTCTAAGTGAAACAAGATGGGAAAGCAGAATAGATGCTATAAAGCCTTTGCGATATGAACTTGGTAAAATATATGATGCACTGCTAGAAATAGCTGATGATACTTCTCTAACTGGATCCTCAGGAAGCACTGCACGCAGTGATGCCAAAGCACTTGCGAATAGTGTTGCAAAGTTTAAGTTCGTGGTTTCAATTGTTGTATGGTACAACATACTTTTTGAAATCAATATAACAAGTAAGCAGCTCCAAGCTAAAGATTTTGATATTCATGCTGCTGTACAACAGTTACAACACACACAAGCCTATTTGGTTGACTGTAGGAGTGACATAGGTTTTGCAAGAATGCTAGTGGATGCTGCTGAAATTGCTAAGGATTTGGAGATACCACCAACCTTTGAGGCAGAACCACGATTACGGCGGAGAAAAAAGCAATTTGCATATGAAGCTGAAGATGAGCCTGTGCAAGATCCAAAACAAAATTTCAAAGTGAATTTTTTTCTTTGCTATACTTGACACAGCAATAAGGTCGGTTGAAGAAAGGTTTGAACAAATGAGAACAATTGAATCTGTATTTGGTTTCTTATATCATATTCATGGTCTACAGAGTAAAACTTCACAAGAAATATTGGAATGTTGCATGAAACTAGAATCTGCTTTACAACATGGTGATAACAGAGATTTAGTTGCATCAGATTTGTGTGGCGAACTACAGTCTATTGCACAACGACTTTCTGAAGAAACAAAGTCTCTTCAAGATGTTTTTCGATTTATTCTTTGCCAAAACTTGGAAGACAGTCTACCCAACCTTTGTATTGCTCTTCGTATTTTGCTGACATTACCTGTTTCTGTCGCTAGTGGAGAGCGTAGTTTTTCCAAACTAAAATTGATAAAGACATACATTCGATCATCCATGTGCCAAGACAGATTGGTTGGGTTGGCAACTCTTTCCATTGAGCACGAACTTGCAGACAAGCTGGACCTGAAGGACCTTGTGATCGATTTTGCCCAGAAAAAGGCACGCAAAGTACAGTTTTGATATTTTTAAATAAATAAATACTTTCCTGGTGTTTTCACTTTATTTTGCATTTTGTTTTGATTTTTTTACGTAAAAGGGGTGCGACCTTTGAAGTTTTGTCTAGGGTGTCATAACCCCTTTGCACCGGCCCTGGTTGTAGTTAGTGTAACCAGTCCAGTTTTGGAGTGTAGAGATGATTTTTTGCTTGGCATAGTACAGGCAGAAAATTCAACTGGGTTAGAGCAGGCACATTTAACCCTCAATCTCTTGGAATACTATGATATTGTCGACAATATTACTGGTGTTTGCTGCGACACAACTGCATCCAACACTGGAAAATTTGCGGGAGCAGTTACAATTCTATCAACTATCCTTAATACAAGTCTTGTCTGGTGCATGTGTCGTTGCCATATTATTGAAGTACTTATTAAACATTTTATGACTGCACTGACTGGCGCCAATACCAAGTCTCCAAGAAGAGAAATTTATGTTCGCTTACAGAAGGTTTGGTCAAAAATTGTTGACCAGATAACACATCATCAGTATATCTGGTTAAGTTTAACTGGACTTCTTTAGAGATTGGATCACCTATTTATAATATAGCCAAGACAGCATTAAAGTTTGGAGAAACTGCACTAAATGAAAATATTTTCAAGAGAGGAGACTACAAAAATCTTTGTCAGTTGTTTGTTTACTACCTTGGTGTTCATGTTCCTGGTATAAAATTTCATCAGCCAGGAGCTTGTCATGAAGCAAGGTTTATGGCAGATGCAATTTATTTGCTTACATTAGATATGACAAAAGACATCTCAAATATCATGAACGAAAAGGAGAAAGAGATGGTTACGACAGCTTTTTTATTTATATCTCTAACATACTGTCCTTGGTTTTTCAAAAGCTCTCTGAGTATTAAAACACCAGCTAATGATTTAGCAGCATTCAAAGACATGTTTGATTTCCTCAGTTTTCTCAACCAATACTGAAAAGCATGCAAAATTATACCTGGTATTTAAGTCAGCAGCTTGTTGTAATGGCTTTAGTGGATGATGATGTAAAAAAAGTCGAGAAGAAGAACATACTCCAAAACCTCTTACAGTTTCCAGTTCCTAAAGAGTTCATAAAAGGTAAGCCTAAAATGCCTATAATCACACCGTCTACAACACTATCAAATTTATTTGGTGACCAGAGCTAGAATTTGTTTTGCCTAACCCAGGTTACCCATGACAAGGTTGAGTTAGCACAAGCTATATAATATAGCATTAGCTGCACAAAGGGACATTACTGTTTTAGACAACTTTAAATTTTTTGTTAAAAATATTGAAGTCACTAACGATTGTGCAGAAAGAAATATAAAACTAATCCAAGACTTTATTATGTCATACCAAAATGAAGATATGAAGCAGAATTTCTTGTTGGTTGCAAAAAACCATAGAAAAACGTCGAATACAAATCTGACTAAAACCCAGCTAAATCAGATTTGAAGTGCTTATGATATTTGTTCAACCTTTCTTTCTACGACTCTTCAGCATATACAAAATACATTTAAAATAAATTTTATTGTAATAAATGTTTAACATGATCATTTTTCTAATATTTACAAGTTTTATCGTATAAATAGGAAAAAATCAAAATTTTGAAGTTTTACACCAAGCACTTGTAACCGTTTAAATTTAAAAATTCTAATATATTTGGTCATAATACACCTAGTAATCAAGTTCTAGATAGCGCACATCTCTTTTTTCCAATTTTTTTTTTTTGGAACACCCTAATGCTGAAGCTATAAGACAATAATATCAACGCCACTCTGCTCAATAATGTTGTAGGTGCATATGTTTTCTACTATATAACTGGGTTACACTCCACACTAAGCTTCCAATTATAGCAGCGACTATCCTGGCTAAATATTTCACTACGAGCTTTAAAATTCATTAATTCATTCAATATAACATCAGCAGCTAGTGTTTCATTTTTAGCTATTCTGAATATTTGCAACACATCAGATATCTCAGCTGTGACAAATGAAAAGACTTGTGCTACAATAGACACAATACATATTGTGTTTTTCAATATGTTCTTGTGCTTTCTCATCAGATACTGCCAATCGCTATGAGTCACAAAGACGCAAATTGCGCTGTAACATCGAAAACTGATATGACCATCTTGTTACAACAGGAAGAATTAAAGTCAAACTTTTTTTCAGAGAATGTAGACTACAGCGCTTAAGGATACTCTTTAAAACATGTTTGTTTTTGAAAAACTTAACTATTTGTTCATTTTGCTTTAGTGTTTCAAAAATGATGTTGTTCTTCTTTACTAGGTCACAAGCTAGTAAATTTAGACCGTGAGAAAAACAGCCATATGTTGACATCCAATCATATTTATTTTCAACCAATTTCCAAACAGCCACCATGACTGATGGATTGTCAGTGCAAAAAGCTTTTATTTTTCTCTTGTTCGATATAACATTTTGATCTTCAATTATCTCAACCATTTGATCAAATAGGTATTGTCCGGTGTGGAAGTTTTCTTTTGGATGAATACTTTTTATGTATATTGGAGTTAGAGTTGCTAACATAATCTGTATGTGTGAATCATTATTTATACAAGATCAACCATCTATCTTGAGGACAAATGTTTCTGCCTGGAATATTAGTCCTTGTTTGAATTTATTTACTTGGTCATATACTGTGTCTAAAAGATCATGAGTAAGAGCATAACGTTAGGGAGGTGACCAACTAGGTCGAATCTTTTAAAAGAAGTTAATCCAAAATATTTTTTTGGCATGCTGAAAGGGCTGGCTGTTGCGTAAATTGCTTTCGCATATTGTATATTTATTTCATCGCACTCTTGTGCTGATATTTTATCAAAAAAATATGATATAGGTTTTTGATTGAGAGGTAAAATAGAGGTCAAACTGACAGCCTTTTCTGAAAATTTTGAAAAAAACACTCTTGGAGGTCAGAATGTAAGTCATTAGCAACCACACTCATTGTGGAATTGGTGCCTATCTTTTTTACAAAACTGGTAAGGTTGTTGTCACACGAAATCCTTATTAAATCTGATACACCTTCATTATTATTTGTATTTTTGTCAAGTTGAACTCACACGAGTGCCAACAAAATGGATAAAAAATAAAATTGCAACGCAAGAATGTAACATCATTTATAAGCACGATAATCAGCAGATTAAAAAAAATCATTCATTAGCACACGTGGGAGTTTCCAGGAGTGTGGAGTTATGCTCACGTGCTGGTATTATCGTTAACATAGGAAAACAAGTTGTCGCTGAATGTGATGAATGTAATTCGATTGGTCCTAATGTGATTTTGTACGATAAAGAAAATCTTCTTGTCAGTAAATTGATGGAAAGAGTAACCTGTGATGTTACTCACGTTGGTTCGTTGCTTTATCTCACCTGTATTGATTATGGCCCAAGCAGATACACGTTGTCGACAACATTAGACAACGATAATGTAGCAATGGTTTTTAGTAGTTAGAAACAATATGGTCATCACTTGGAACTCCTTCCGAAGCTCTCCTAGATAATTCTTAGTCGTTTAGATCTCAGACTATGCTGAGATCAAGCTATGGCGTCAAAGTGGGAAATAAGACTTATCTATCAAGCCCCAGTAGGCACCGGACCAAAAAAAGACGTCTTTTGAACGTTCAAAAGTATAACCGTGTCTGTATTCTTAAACAACAACGTTCCATCAAACACGGCACACCTTTTGAAATCTTATACCAACAATACAAACGCGTCCGATAAAGTCGAATCAATACAAAAGTCCCTGACAACGTTTCAAGGATGGAAAGTTGACGATAAAGTGTGGGTAAAGCCCAACCAAATGACGCCGTGTAGTCAGCGATGGTTAAAAGGAAGTATAGTGTCACTGCACAATAGTTTAATAGCTGAAGCTAAAGTTAACGGACATACGTTGCCACAACATTTTTTGTAGACAAAAAAGAAAAAGATAAAACAACTGATGAGGATTACAATTTGACACTTGTTAAACCTTCCGAAACGAACTTAAAACACGTCGTAATCGAAGATCCAAGTTCTCAAACAAATTCCCTTAACAATGGCAAAGCTGACAATAGCATGGACCACGCTGATCAAAACTATCCAACAAATTGTGAGACAAAGTTACAGCCTGTTCGGTTTACTTGCTATGGGAGAAAAGTATTTCCTAACTGAAAGTATGTATGAACTTTTGTTGAGCTGGGGGAGATGTTGTGATTTTAATGTGCTTCAATAATTTGTCAATAATTAGCAATAATTAGCTTTGCTAACTATTGACAAAAGTCACACGTTGCATATTTTTATTATTATAATGTTTTGTATAACGATCATTAATTGTTGACAAAAATTGTATTTTTAAATGCTATATATAGCGAACAATTTTTTTGTAAAAACGTTGAGGTTGTTGATAAGTAATTAAAAACATTGAAAACATTGAAAAAAATGTTTTTAAATACGTTGAACAACAATTTCAGCATAT